AAAAAAAAATTAGAAGAACGTGATTTTAAGTTTAACTTTTCTAACAACTTTTAAAAAAGTTAATTTCTAAAAATATAACTGAGCCTCCAGCTTAACATATAAACCAAAACTATCATAGAAAAAAGCTCCAATAAAGCATTTAAAACAGATTATAAAGGGAAAAAAACATTAGGAACCTCATATTTGACTACTCTTGAAGGTTACAACTTACTTTCATCAATAATATAAAAAAATCACCTATTTTAAAGGATTAAATATCAAATGAAATTTCAAGAGAAAGCTAGAAAATCTTTGTCAACACAATGAAAAAAACAGAACCAGCCACTGCAATGAACAATAAAATCAACCCTGATGAGTTACTGCATAAGTAAAATGTTTATTTAGAGCTGTGGTTTGAAATTCACCGAGTTGAAAGTTTGAAAGCTTGTTTATAAATCTAACACTGAGATGCTGGGGATGACCTTTACAGGAGAGTAATAATTGAAACAAATTGAAACTTGTGTCTATCCTAGTAAACATGTTCTATAGTTAGCTTAACTTAGAAGAACAAACAACATTTTCAATGAAGACAACAAACAATTTCAGATAAATGTTTATTCTACCCAACATTTCGGCTTCTGCCTTTTTCAAAGGTCTATGAATGTCACAGGTTACAAAAATGATTTTTGAATGATAATAACTGAAAAGGATATAAAAATATAACAATATACTGTAAGTGCACTAAAAGTACTGATGAATGGGTTAGAGTCACAGATCATAAAATAAATATTAAAATAAACAAAGAATAATAATATCATCGGGGCCAGGCATTATAGCTGTTAATGGAAAGGCATTTGGATTGGATCAAAAAGAAATAATTTAATTTTCTGTCACGAAAGTTGTCACAAATCTCTAATATTTTGATCCGATAAGGTGTCTTGTTAATTATGCCATTGGCATTGATGTAATGTTCAGAAGTGGCTTCTTTGTTGTCTAACACAGTGTAACAAACAGTGAGCTTGTTGATGAAATGCAATTTGATATGTTCAAGTATAAAATTATCAAATGGTGCAAACTCCTGTAGAGATATTATATTATCCAGTGTCAGATAACTTTTATTGTAACATACAAAATATGTAAGTTAAGTTATTGTTGAGGAAAAATCTCAAGAAATCAGAATTGTGTTGCATCTCAGTATGTCACACAGTATATCAAACCAGAATCTTGTGTATCGCACGGTATTCCTATCCAGTTCCAAAGCGAGTTTATTTGGAAGAAAAGTATTCAATGTTAAATTCACAAGTTTCTGTTGTTGTATACTTTTCAGTGTCTTATAGATAGGTTTGTTATTCTTATTTCCTTTTCCCAAAATATGTTTGTGAATTCATAATTTTTTTTTTTTTTTTTATGTACACTGTAAAACATTATACTGTTTTAGACAGCTCTTATTATATGCAATCTAATGAAAATATTTATTACAGTGGTTCTAATTAATACAGAGAAATACTTTTATTTTGTACATATGTTGTTTATGTGTGCAGTATAATAATACATTTTAATTCGACAGGGAGATTATATTCTTGAACACACCATCTAACAGCTCCTCATAAGGTAAGTTTCACACCATCATTCACATTGAATTCATCTAAACTCCTTATAAGGTACATTTCACACCATTATTCAGATTGGATTCATCTAACAGCTCCTTATAAGGTAAGTTTCACACCATCATTCAGGTTGGATTCATCTAATAGCTCCTTATAAGGTAAGTTTCACACCATCATTGAGGTTGGATTCATCTAACAGCTCCTTATAAGGTAAGTTTCACACCATCATTCAGGTTGGATTCATCTAATAGCTCCTTATAAGGTAAGTTTCACACCATCATTCACATTGGATTCATCTAACAGCTCCTTATAAGGTAAGTTTCACACCATCATTCACATTGGATTCATCTAACAGCTCCTTATAAGGTAAGTTTATTCTTAGAAACTTTTAAATGATGCATGTTTGAGAACTGATAATTATTTTTAATGCCATTGTAAGCAACACTATGCTCTGTTATAGACAGATCTTATTAGATGCAGTCAAATGAAAATATTTATTACAGTGTTTGTAACTAATGCACAGAAACATTTTATTTTGAATATTATGTTGTTTATATCCACATTTCAGTAATAATAAATCTAAAGGGGCACAAGTTTTTAAAATATTTTTCATGAACAGATACAAAATTCTTTAGGCTACATATTTTCAGCAGCATTAAGTATGGATCTAATCACACTGACGAAACTATGTACTAGTTTCAAACACACACACACAATACATGCATTATGGTTTCCCCCATACATACTGTTTGTCATTTAACTCAAAAAGTTCTATTTTGGTCTCATTTGAACATAGAACTTTCTGCCACATTGTTGTAGAGTTATTAAAGTGTTTATGGGCATAGTCCATTCGCGATCTACGATGTATCTTCATCAGTAGTTGTTTCTTTCTTGCCACCCTACCATACAAGCCTATTTTGTGTAAGGTACGTGATATTATTGAGGTGTGTACAATAACTCTAGTTGCTGCTATTGAAGTCTGCAGCTCCTTCAGTGTCACTGTTGGCTTGACAATCACTTCTCTGACGATTTTTCTGCTTGTTTGAGCACAAACTTTCTTAGGGTGACTTGATTTTGGCAAGGTTGAGGTAGTGTGACACACTTTCCATTTGTTCACAACCAATTTTACAATGCTTAATGGCAAATTTAGAACCTTTGAAATTGATTTATAGCCTTCTCCAGAATTGTGTTTCTAAACAATCTTCTCCCTTTGGTGTGTAGAGAGTTCTTTTCTTCGTCATACTTAATATGTAACAATAGTAAACCAAATTTTAACTTTCAAAATACTCTGCTTAAATCAATACTGATGGCTGGCTCTATATGACCTGAAGTATATTTTCACATGGCTCAATAATATACTTTGGTATCTGATAGAGTTGTATAGAGCCACTTGTATTTTCTTTAGAAAGGTAGTGATGTATAGTTAAATCAATGAAGGTTAAAGCTGAGGGGGTGAAGACTTTTGCAACATGTGTTTAAGATTTTTTTTGTGTTATCACTAAATTGGGTAACAATACACCTTTCATTTTTTGTAACCTTTAGAAACTGGTCTGAAATTAATATAATGAATACTTTTGGCCATTTGAGTTGTCTTTCACAAGAAAATACCTAAAATTTATTACCGGCACGAGGGTGGAGGGTGGGAGGTGAAGACTTTTTTGCAAGGCACTGTATATATATTGAATACATTTTCTTGCTTATGTGAAAAATTAAAAATTGTTCTCTTCCAAGAATAAATAAAACTAAAATTAAAAGTGACGAGTATCATTATTCCTTGCTTTCGAAGTTCATATGTCATGTTGTGTTGTAGCCTTGAGAGTGCATAATTCTTCTCATGATTCATGGCATGTGCACATTTTACTGACGTCACGAGAGTACAAGTTGCAACATTAAGTGTCCATTATTGATGTCATTTTAGTGTTTACTGACTGACTGTCAGATAACACACTACTGTATTGCAAGTGATCAAAACAGGTGACCCCCTCCAGCCTTTCAGGGAAAGGAGTACAAACGTTTAAAAACATTCCTTTCTGTGCAGCAAGTTTTAATTGAAAGCATCTTATTTTTTCTCAAATGAGTTTTTACCATACTATAAGAGACTACAATTTTCTACCATACAAAATGTAAACAACTATCAACACACTTATTCTGATGATATCAAAACAAGCTTTAACTTACAGTTCAACTAAAACTAGTAAAATATTAATTCATATTTCAACCAATATAAAGACTTATTTTCTTACCATTTACAAAGTTCTCCTGCACAGTTCCTGGAAAGTTCCACACAAGTTGCCCCAAAAATCCAAAAATAGCACAGTCTACTTCACTTGGCTCATCTCCCATGAAGAATGGTTTTTTTCCTGTTCACAGAAATAAAAAGAAAAGAAATTAAGATGTTTTCTAAGTACAATATTCGAGATTCATTTAATATAATAAACATGGTGAAACATTCTAAGTATTATACATAGGACTTAAAAAATCTATCATGAACAAAAGGCAAAATAGGATTCCTATAGCCAAGATGTTCTTGACTACTTGTAGCTAATTACTACATATAAAAATGTATTATTTTTGAGACAAGCTGTAGCAATAGTTGATAATCTTACTTTTTCTCCTGGGATTTATTTCAATAATCCTATCAGAAAGCTTTTCAGGCACCAATACCTGAAACCTGATTGCTCAGAATAGTTTGAAATTGGCTCAACTTATATCAACAATAATCATTCAACTTAACCTAGATGACACTGTGATCATACAGGGTGAGAACAACAAAAATGTGTCAGAAAAAATATTCATGTACTACAATCACACCCCCAGGTGTCATAATACTGTAGTTCAATAGCAAATTTGATCACTCAAACAACCGAAAACTCACGAAAATTGAATATCATTTTATTATTACAAAATCTAAATTTATAACAAGTTTAAGGTCATGACAACTAACATTCAACCATATATCAAAACTACATTCTGACACTGTTTGGCATTTCATAGGTAGTGTAATGTCACCAAAAACTAATCACTTTTAGGAAGAGTACCCAACAGCCTTTTTCAATGCTAAATTTTCATATGTTCAGATCATGAAGATGTGTTAAGATTGTGATTTAGAATTTTTAAGACAGGAATATTGCTTGTTCTTACTGGCACTGGAAGACAAAGTAATATGGATGATGAACTTGAGGCACAAGAACAATCAAGAATGAAACCTGAAACTAGTCAAGATGCTGGATGCAGTGCCTATGGATTTTGGTGCAATCAGAGGTTGTAATAAATGGAGGGAGGAGTTGTGCATTTGAGACATGACTGCCTCACAATGGAGTCTTTTGTAATGGAAACTATGTTGTAGAGTTATTGTCACAAAGAGCATGACCAGGTATGTTGAAACGAATTGTAATCGTGTGTGGGGGCTCCAAAATCATTGTAACAATAACAAAGTCCTTTGAAATTCTTCATATTTATTTTTTTCAAATGATTTATAAAATATATTAGAAGCTATAAAAACAGATCTCATAAATCCATTCTACATTTCATGAAAACATTGAAATACACAATATTTAGAATATTTTTTCCTATTTTCAATACAAAAGAACTACAGTGGGTCCCTGTGACAGTAACTGCGCTCACCAATTACTACCCATGTATCAAACAATGTTGCCTTGTTTTGTTACTAGAGCATTTGAACGTCATTGACTACTTTTCCAGTTCAAGTGTTTATAAGGCAATATTTAAAAAAATCCTGAATTCTCCTAGTGTCAGAAAAGACATTTTTTGTGTAGGCATCCCCTCTTCACTAATTTATTTCCCACCCCTCCAATAAGAATGAAATTTAACATAAATTACTCACTATAATATTGTCATTTCTCAGACAAAGCATAATTTTATTAGCTTTCAATTTTGTTTGGTTTCAAGCTTTGTTCCAACGGGAAAGATATCACGTGGTTGGTCAATTGAATTGAGCCTGGAGTACTATACCAGGTGTACTGTACTACCAATGTGTGTGTGAAGAAGCATTGCCTTGTCAAGATGGCAGAGGATATAAACATGTATTCCCACATGTTTTGTAGAGTACACTTTAGTTAAAAAAGCCATGTTACACCCTTTAAAACAGTTATTCAAGAGTGGCCCGAAATTTTTGAGGAATGCATCTTCCCCATAGTGTAAAGACTGTGTTGCTTAGTTGTTTTTCAGATGTACATCCCGTTTTCCAGGAATACATCATGAAATATAATGGGGGTACCCTGTATTTAGAATTTTCTTTGTATGATTTTATGTAATTTTTTTTTTAGATGATTAAATATTTAAGATGCAGAACAAATACATAGAAACAAAATCAAAGATACCAGTTGCTAGGTTAATCCTATCAGGACTGCAAGGATGACATTGTATCACCCATTTGGTTTCTTCTCTACTTAAAATGCTTAACCCTAAATACATGGAATTTGTTTCACACTTCATACAAAATGTTATACTTTAGAATTTGAACTTTCAGAAAAACATTAAAATACTTTCTTCTGTCTTGGTTTATATTATATATATATTTTTTTTTACTTACTGTGTGCCTCAAACCATGTAAAAATATATAACAGTTATTTTTTAAACAAAACTATAACTTTTGTGTAATACCAATAATGGTACACTAATATTTCTCATCTTACATGCTAATAAAGTTACAATTGGAAAATATGAAAAAAAGAAAAGAAATAAAACTTTACTTTTTTTGTAACATTATTTATCAGACAATTTTAAATATCCAAACAGATCTAATTTGTTGTATTTTCATCAATTATATATATATATATATATATTTGTTATTTATCTTTACCTATTGAAGCAGTTATGTAGTTGCAAGAATAGCATAAAACACCAATGAACAGTACAACATAAATACAACTTACACTTGTATCCTAGCCCTACACTAATATAGGCAATATTTTTTCAACAATACTTTTGGTCAAGCTCAATTTCTATCTAATAACTATAGTCTGTTTTCAACAACTTCGGTATTATGATTCTTGAAATAGTTATTTTGAGTGAAGAAATATCATGTGACAAACAAAACCTTAGATATGTCTATTTATAAGGAATTTCAGGGTTTACGTAAATTTAAACCTATACTTTCAGATGGGCAAAAAAAAATTCTAAAAAGATAAACACATACCACTAGTAAGATGTTCAATGAATGTTGGCTTTAAAGACCTTTTAACCTAGACTGTTTTAACCGAAGTGGATATAGCTGTTTGATATTTTGGTCTTCATCATATATGAAATAGATCCTAAGTAGAGTATGACTAAAGTAACAGTTTTCTTTGGAACATCCAGCATAACAGATGGGATATTTAATTTTGCAGTTTTCTGTGTGGATTATTCTATTTAGAAAATACAACAGAAAACTGTTTCGTCTAATCATTTGTTTAATGTTCTCCACTTCTGCATTAAGAGGTTTTGAGTTCTTGATATTTTATATGCTCTATACAGCAGTTTTAATCTGATTTTCTTTAAAGACTGAAGGAGTGAAACTTTCAAAATGTGAATAAAGTCCAGTGAAAGTGGGTTTATGATACAATTTAATGGTAAATATACTCTTGTTTCTTAACTCTCTCAATACAGGCTCAGTCAATTTGACCGAGCATGTGACCTTTTTGTACTCGTTTAATGTCTTTATAGATTTAATACTTAGAATTCTCAATATAGCGTGTATATCTTCACGAACTTTGGAAGTCTTTCAGTTAACATTACAAGTCATTCACATACAAAAAATCATATTTTTTAGTGAAGTATTTCTAATAAAATAAAATAAAGATTTGTCCATGAATATGTTGAGTATTTGTTTTGAATAGTCTGTGTACAAAGTAATTTTCATGTTAAAGTTAAAAATACTTTTCCTTATCTCAAAAATCTAAAATTTCCTTTGTGTAATCCCTAAAACCTCCTAAATGCATCTCAAGCATTTTTTTCAATAAAACTTTATAGTTTATCTGTTATTTTCTCTACTCTATCTCAAAATGGGATCATTCAAATCCCTAAATTAACCCTTTTTTCTTTCTAGAATGATTTCAAATTGTAACAAGATACTACATTCATTTATCTTAAGTAGCTCTAAGTTCATAACTTTATACATCTATTTATAATTAAATTTTATTGTTTTTTTGCCCTTTGAACTGTCTCTAACTAATATCTGCATCATAAAAAGTTGTAAATCCACTCGGAGAACATGAATTACATTACCCACGAGTTACTATGAGCTGCTCTGTGTGTGCCTCGGGAACTATTTTAATTACATTATTATTACACATTCTACCTAATCTAGTCTTAAATAACTTAAAAAGATCCATATTTTTAGATTTTAGTTACTTTTATAAAAATAAATAAAGAATAAATAAGACAAACAAGAAATAAAGTACTTCCCAAATTCTGTTTTTTCTTGCTCTCGATTGTCAGTGACAGTTAAGCCTAATGTTTTATAGTACTAATAGTAATGCACTTAAAATGTTTTCTATTTTATTAAATAATGCACCAAAGAATATAGACTAATAACATGAAAAAAGTACACAAATTCCCTTACCTCTCAAAATTTTTCTGGCTTTTTAACTATGCGACAAGAGCTGTTACAAATTTGTTCAATCTAGTTGTTAACTTTCCCATGAGAATGAAGCTTGTACTCTGAGTGAAACTGATCCTTATTTGTTCCGAATATAATGTTGTGCAATACGTCACTTGATAGATGAAAACCTTGACTTTCTATTGGTTATAGGTAATACATAGTTAAACATAAGAAAGAACTATTAACAACTGAAACAGAGGATGTGACAGGTGGGTGTGGCAGAAGTTGTCTGATTTTATATTCGATAGCTCTGTTACCAAACGAAATTGAAGACTATAACAATTATGGTTTGTCTGAGCAATAATGATTTATATAGTAATTTACATTTAATTTCTTACTTTTTCGAGGGGTGTTGGATAAAATAGGGATGATGATATGCTATAAGAAAATGTGTCATGTGGGTCACACTAGTGGAAATCCAGGATTTTTTAAATATTGCCTTGTAGAATTAAGAACTTAAAACTTGTATACTATTAAAATATGGATTATTAGCTAATATTTTATGCTATTCTAATTGATATAACATAAAAAAAATAGCAGTTTAATAAAATTTTGAAGACACTCAAACCTCGTGTCATGTGCAGTAAAGGATACCTGGGGCAATAGGGTTAAGACATCAACATCTAACACAAGGGTTTGTCATTCTTTTGATTTTCCATAGTAAACTTTATTTTGGGATGGTTATCATTTAAAAACTGAAGAAATCCATTAACTGACTCAACATTAATAAACACCATAAATATGTCACCAAAATATCTCCTGCAACATACAGGAAAAGGTTAGCAAAGTCAGAAGCAAGACACTCCCTCAATCTACGCACAGATTTTACTGTTAAATATATAATGATTGTTTTGTTGCAAAATGTAAAATTATTTTAAAAAATCTTTAGTCATATCCTGTACAATTTAATTCTTAGCAAACATAAGGTTAAAATAAAGATTGATAGTTTCGCTTAGAGGTATAACTGTATATGTCTTGATATCATACCTAGAACAATGAACATCATTAAACTGTCTGCTTTAAGCTACTGACAAATTCAAAAGTATCTTTAACAGAATATTCATTCTGTACAAACTTTTTCAAACTGGATCAAAAATATTACTAATGTTGTTAATATATGCCTATACTAGAAACAATTAGTGTAACTGGACATCCTTGTTTGTGAACCTTAAAAAGTTCATATAATACCCCACATTTTGGGTCTGATTGTTGGGCTTTATTTAAGAAGTGTTTTCATGCGAGATGAACTAAAATCTTGGTTAACTTTTCAAACTGAGAGCCATATATTGCATAGGACCTGATGATGGTCAAATTACTGACCAAAAGCTTGTTAAGACTGGACGTTTATGCTAGCAGATACTGCATGATACTTTGATTGTTTTTTAATTTCTCTTATGAAATTATATACCATTTAGTTCTATTGTTCTTATTTTACTTTTTTGTGGTGTTTAAATCACAAACCACGAGACACTTTACTTGACTCAGCCACTTTAACAGACTTGGCACAATTTCTTTCTTTTGAACCAATAAGCTTCTAAGCATCATACTAGATTCACATTTCTTATCATATTTAGTTATTTCCAGTCCCATACAGAAACCACTGTGTAAATGTAACATGTTATGGGATAACTTTACTCCAACATAATCATTTTGATGCTAAAATCGACACCTATCCAATGGTATAAGGTCAAAATGAAATGATTGAAAATGAAATAGAACATTATTATCCTCTAGCAATCTTCCTACAAGACCCAATTAAATACATGATTAAGATAACAAAGTATGTCTTTTTCAAGCCTCATTTGCAAACAGTACTCTACTGGCATTTGTTGACTCTTTCGAGATGTGTCATGGGAGAAAGGCCATGCCATCTCATTTTTTGACTCGCATTCAAAAGTTTATTGAACTACTATTTCATAAATTTATGTCAATAACTTTGGTATCAAACTGTAGATTATAATTCAAGTTTTAATTTAAAAGCAAATATTAAAAAACACAGTTAAACATTGATTTGTGTG